ACAATGGTTAAACAAGTATTGCTACGTAAATTAAATTTCCAAATCATTTTTTTTTTTCATGACGTAAGGTAACGTAAAATATATTTTAATCATAGGTAAGATGTGGCTCAACTAGGTTCACGAGGAATTGAATTGCGAGATTCTACATATTATGTAAATGCTCGGGGCTGCTCTTTGATACCCCAATATTCACCCACGGATTGAATACCACTGAGCTTCTCATCCCAGCCACGAGAATTACATTCCATCTTATAAAATATAGAAAGCCATTTTATGTTTATATCTCTTCGTGGTATGCCTTGATCTACCGTAAAGACAAAAACGTTTCAAGGAAAAAAAATTTAAATCCAAATGGATTGGTATGGATTTTTATTTCTTTTTAATTTTATTTTTGGTATAGATTTTTTATTGCCATTTGTTTACTTCTTTGGTTATCAACAAACATAGCTTTGACAGTTTCTGTAAAAAAAGTATAAGTTAGCCTACTTTTGTTAAAAAAAATATGGAAAAGGAAAAAATAATTAAGGGGTCTTAAAGTGTAACTGGTGTTTTGGGTGACATTCTATTTATATAAAAAAGATTTTTTTTTAAATTTTGGTAATAAAATCCAAATTTTAATACATAAATGCCTCATAGGTTATATAATTACATTTGAGGCATAATATTGCATAAACATGTCACACGAAGTAAAGTATTCAAAAAGTATGGCAGTGTGTCATAAATAAAAAGTTAGAACCTATATTTGTATCTACATTGTTCTAAGGGCTAATGTAATCTCTAAACTTCCTGAGGAAGGCATTCTGCTAAGGTTGTGTTTGAAAACATTACACATTGTGTACAATGCTAAGGTCTCTAAGATCTTTACATTCACTTACATGTTTCACTTTTACATAGTTCGTTTTAAAAAATGCAATTAAAATCCAACCTTATTTTTACTTGTAAAAAGATTTTATTTATAGCTGTAATTTTGAATCTTTATACAATATTACGTTTTGCTTTGTTGATCATTTTGCTATGGAAATATTATCTAATATTAAATTCATATAGGGCAGTGAGGTGATTTATAGCCATCAGCAGGTTGGAGTAGAAAAGGAAAGGAATATGTTGCCGGTAAACGTAGCCAGATACCAAACGCTTTCCTTAAACTTTTATATTTTATCCACACAATATAGCTTCTAATCTTTAAAGAAAACATTTTTACTTTAACCTAATATTTTTTATGTTCTTAACATACAAACATGAGATGGGCAATTCCTACAGTAAAAAGATTTTTTTATTTTAAATACATCTCTAGGCTTAGGTAAGGTAAGTATTTCTGATATTGAATACTTAATGTATAATTTATGTTTAACTTATCAATGGTTTAGATTTAAAATAACTAAAATTCTTTTGTTTTCTTTCTTGGGTTCTTTGTTTTCTTTATAATATAAAAACTACAAATAAACACATAATAGTCGTGGTAAAACTTGAGTTACTTTTTCGTATCTTACAGATACATATTGCTTTGCCAATATTAGCCAGGTCAGGAGAAAGAAGTGAATAATTAGTGCTAATTAAGTAAGCTTAAACTATTCCTTGCCAAACAATTAGTCTTAATTACGTTTAATTATCTATAGACGTATATATACTATCCAAATTATGTTTTGTGTATATTATCCTTACAATATCTTTTGTGTTAAGTCATTTAAAAACTTAAACAATCATTGTTACTTTAAATGAGATTCCCATCATTGCCATCATTCCCATCACTTAACAAAGGTGAAAAAATAAAACGTCATACTTTATTCTACCCAGTGATATAGAGTATGCCTAGTACTTATAACCCTAAACTCTTTTGCTATTAGTAGAACCCCATTGTATGCCAGACAATAGGCCATCAGCAGCAGGCTTTAAGCAGGTAATCGCTATTGACTTCAGACGACAAAAAGACAGTTGTGACCTTATGCTACATGAAGATCTATATCTGTAAAACACTCTAACTACATTTAATGGTGCTTTTACACAAATCTCTTCTGTTATATTTTTACATAATAAACTATTTATTAATATTTATTTTTGTTCTTGTAATAGTTGTACTCATACGTAACTATGACTTTTGAACCATTATAGTTCCTAAATTGAGGGGAGTGTCATTCTGTTTTGAGTAAATTAATAAGTTCTTAAATACAATAAACGTAAGTATTAAAATGCCGTTAAACAAGAATTTTTTTTTGCAAAATGTTTACACTTATATTGTTAGGATTTATAAAATCGCTTATGTATTTTAAAGATTTTTTTTGCTTTCGAGTCCAAACAATCGTGTATATCATATTCAGATCCGAACCGGCAAGAGGATATATGTGGACTGCGTCCTTAATTGCATACTGTTTGGCCACTGCGCTGGTGCAAGGCCACCACTTTGATATAATTACTGTAAATTGGCAATTACTCGTGAAATGTGAAGACTTTTACAGTGAAAATAAATATCTACGAGCTATGAACTGATATAAAATCCAGCTTTTTGATAAGGCTTGTGCCTAAATCAATAGGCTTATAATGCTAACTAACCTCAAAGATGATCAATTTTAGTAATTATTAAACCAATGGAAAAACAACTTGTATACGAAAAAGTTGAACTCTACTTAAAATAGTTTTACATACAAACCTCTATGACCTTTTACAACTGTCTATAGAATCACATTTGTAATATAGCAACGTAAAAGTACGGAATATTAAGCGTGTACTATTGAAATTTTACAGCAGAAACTATATATTAGAGTCCGTATTAGGCTTTTTAAATGGTTTATTGACCAAAGTGATATGAAATTCAGTCACAGAGTCGTATTATACATGAAGGGACATCAGTAACTAGTTTATTTGACAACTGAACCCAGCCACGTACCCTCGTGCACTAAGATGGTTCCGTTGGGAGATATAAAACTGACATTTGCAGACGATATGTAATATTTACTATTTAAAACCCAGTTTCTTACACTTTCTATTACAGGTTTTGTATTTTTTGTGTTTCAATAAATTCTTCGTCTCACCACTTACACTTTCTGGGTTTATAATTGTAGACTTTTTAAATTTCGTTGGTACCTAAATAGTTGATTTCTATTAATATTTATATAATATTAATATCGATTGAAGATATATTTCTTATTTAAATTATTTAGAGTGTGGTTAAAAAATGTTAATAACTAAGTACAGATTTGTTCTGGCAAAATGCTAATACATATGAATCAAGTTACATTCCACCCAAACAATCTATTGAAAAAAATATTGTCAATTCTTTCAAAAAAAATATTACTACCAGTATGGATATTGTGTTGATTTGGAAATGATAATATGACACTCGCAATCAAATCATAGAGTATTTTTCACTTATAATCAAGATACAATTTTTAGAGTTTTAATAAATTTCAAAAAGCAACACAACTACTCTATGTCATGGGTATTATGACAAAAAGGCTCGGTATTTTCTTTTAAATCATAAGTTAAAATAAAATCCAAAAACACGAATTTTTTAAGGAAATATAAATCGTTTCGATTTTCCTCTTTGCCTTTGAGGACCATCTATCAAGCATTGACTGCAGGGCCCTTTAAACTGTCCAGACCATCGCAAAGAAACGATGATAAAAGCGTATAACATTGTACTGAGGGTACGTTGAACGTTGTCGACTTATTTTTTAAGTGTATTTAGAAATTTGGTACAGGAGTTTCAAATAAAAAAATCGTCTCAATAAATTGTTTCAAAAATATGTTTTCATTTTAAATATCGAATGATTTTGATGATATATTTTTAAGCTTATTTCTTGTATGATTTTGGTTACCAGATTGTTCTGTATGCAAAATTATACCGTTGCTACATTTTTCAGGATACAATTATGTACTAATTGAGAATTTAGAACAATCTTACTCGTAGATATCATCCATAGAAATTTTTAATGACTCTATTTTAAGTGTGAAACATTTTAAAGAAATTAACTACTGTAGGAAGATTAAAAAATTTACACTAATGACATATATGCTATATAGTTTTCTTTTTCTAATATGTTCAAATATTCTAGTTTGAATACAAACATAACATTTGCATGTAATTCTTTTATTTGGCAAAAACAAGTATAAAATAGTATGTTTACATACTGCAGCTTCCCCTAACAGAGTACTGCGTGTAAGAAGAGATCTTTCTTTGATGACATCACTAATTTATTAATTATGCTGTGATTTAAGTCAATCATCTTCAAACTTTTGTTATTTATTCATTTGATTCATATTTGACCACTACACACTTATGTTGGCCACCCCGTTTATCTATTTTAAAACCCTTTGAGGACCGACGGTACTTACTAGTACCAGCATATTTATATGCTTATATTAAAGGTAACAATAGTGTTATCTGCACGTAGAGGCCTGGAGGTACTTCTGAGTACCATAGTCTGTACTGTAAATCACTAAATCTACTCCTAGTTTCAACAAACCCCACCAGAAAGCAGCACCTACTGGGCCGGTGCATGATTGTAATAGGCAATTCATGTTGTGCAATTTCAAAATTTTTTTAAGACAAGTTCTAGTCCCCCATCTGTCCATATATTTTATTAAATGGGTTGTATATTGTCTTAAATTAATTATTTTATTTTTATTTTTATATTACATCGCAGGAATAAATAAATATGGCCTAAAAATGCTTTGGTACTTTAAAGTCTCGTCGGTCCTCTATGGCCAGACGCTAATCAGCTGATGAGTGTTATAAACAAAGAGCTTTAGTCTGCTAGCTGTTAGTGCCTTGGTGTTGTTGTTTGAAAGTGAAGGTGTTTAGTTTGTTGTGGTGCAGTTTTATAATGTTTAAAGTTGTTATTCATCACTATGGATAGGACATTAAATGAAATAGAAATAGATGAGTGTCTTTTTGAAGATCTACCAGACATTAGTGCCAGCTCAGATGTAAGTGACTGTGAAGATAATGATGATGAAGTTAGGTTAGAACAAACTGACTATTTGGATACAGGAAGAGAAATATCTGTAAGAAATGTAGTTCCTACTCGTAATAAGAATGATCTGCAGTTAACAGAGGCCTCTGTTTCATTTAGGCCCGGTAATACATGTTATAGCGATGAAGAATTGGTAGAAGACCTGAGTCCAATTGGCCTAGGCCTACCAATCATTTCCAATGAGATGGTAGATAAACAACATGAGTTTGTAGAACCTGTAGCCTGCTGTAGCAAAGATACAGATAATAATTTTGATAACATATTTAATGAAGGTATTCTAAACATAGAAAATGAGACACCAGGTTCTGACGATAATAACAAAGAGTCTAATGAAACTTTGGAAGCTAATCAAACTTTGGAAGTTAATGAAACAGGTAGGCCTACTGACAATTGTACCGAGGCTAATGAAACTATCGAAACTAACAATAGTAGGTGTAATGAAACTAGTGCAACTAATAACAAATCCGGAAAAGGCAATTTGAAAAAAAACGCAACCTCTGGAAAAGGCAGGCGTGAAGCTAAGAAGACAACAACCAAACCTAAAGTGACTAAACCTAATAAGACTAAAGCAAACCAAAAGTCTAAAGGTGGCAAACCACACAAAAATGAAGACTCCAATGCGAAGAAAAAGAAAGACGCCCCGGATTATAAATGGAAAAAGAAGGACATGCCTACAACTATTCCACACTATGACGAAAGTGAAGGTAAGCATAAAAAATAACACTTATAGGCTATTTTCTTTATATTATATCTAACTTTTTTTAGCTTATGTATCCTTCAAAATCAGTTTTCAAACACAAACCATACTTAGCAGTTGTTGAGCAACAATTTTCATTTATGTAAGCCTAAGTTATTTATTTTTATATATCTTGCAGTTTATCACTAACATAATAAAATGTACTAGCAAAAACTATTTTTTTGGCTACTCAGTTATGTAAACAAATTAATAAATCCAACAATTAACTTAGGCCTATAATCAGTTGCTAGGCAACAATTTTCATTCTGTCAGAACAATTCAATTTTTTAATACTTTTCAGCACTTTTGTTAGCTAACCCGATGCTAAGAGTTAGTTAGTTGTACCTACTAGTTGTACCGACTGTACAAATGTCTAATGTTTTTGTTTGTTTTCAGGTCTAATGGAAGGACACTTCGAACAATGCAAAACGCCTACTGATGTGTTTCGTGAGTTTGTTGACCAGGAATTGGTAAGCCACATAACTTATCAGTCAAATCTATTTGCGACTCAAAATTGTAAAACACTAAATTTAAAAGAAAATGAACTCCTGGTGTTTATTGGCATAAACTTTCTCATGGGTTATCACCAGTTACCTTCCATAAAACACTACTGGAATACTGCTGATGACTTACATGTCAAGCCTGTTGCAGGAGCCATGACAAGAGGGCGGTTCATGGAAATATTAGCATATCTTCATGTGAACGACAATAGTAAAATTTCTAAAGATAATCCTGACAAATTACACAAGCTAAGGCCTCTTATTGATAAGCTGAATCAAAAGTTCAAGGAAGTTTATAAAGGGACGAGAGAGGTGAGCGTAGATGAATCTATGATTATTTTCAAAGGTCGTAGTACTTTGAAACAGTATAATCCCATGAAACCTATCAAAAGGGGGTACAAACTTTGGTGCCTTGCTGACCAGCATGGTTATACTATGAAATTTCAAGTGTATCAAGGTAAAAATGAAGCCATAGAGGCAGAATATCGTGGAAGCGGTTTGGGTGAGAGAGTCGTTCTGTCATTAACAAAGGAAATATGGGGAACAAATCGAATTGTTGTTTTTGACAACTTTTTTGCCTCGATTCCTTTGATGATAAGGTTAAAAGAGGAGAACACCTTAGCTTGTGCAACGATTCGTAACGACAGGGCAGGTATCCCCAATAACATGAACTCTTGTCTTGAGAGGGGACAGTGGGATTATCGCTACTCGGACACTGATGTGGGTGTTTTCAAGTGGGAGGACAATAAATCTGTCTGGTTGATATCAAATTACCATGGAACAGAACACAGTAGTGTCTTAAGAACCCAAAAAGATGGATCAAAAATTACAGTGAGTTGTCCTCCCGTAGTTAAAGATTATAATAAGTACATGGGAGGGGTAGACCTAGCAGATCGATACCGAGCCCTATACAATGTCGACAGAAAATCCAAAAAGTGGTGGCATAGGCTATTCTGGGGTATATTAGACATTGCCTTTGTCAATGCCTATGTTGTAAATTGTCAGATAAATGGAAAGATGCCAGTTCTAGATTGTAGAAGAATAGTGGCAAATGGACTGATTTCTATGCAAAATCCGAAGCAGAGAAAGAGGTCTTTTGATCTGAACTCATCAAGTGCCACACCAAGCCCTATTTTGAAGAAGAGGAAATCAAGAGATTATTCAGTGCCTAGTGATGTAAGGTTAACCAACAAAGGGATCCACTGGGTGACATTTGACACAAGGAGGGGAAGATGTGAGGTCTGCGCTAAACAGCAAGTTCAATCTCGCCCTTACAGCAAGTGCAGCCACTGCAAAGCGTTTCTTTGTGTGAACGAAAAAAAGAACTGTTTTGCTAAGTTCCACGAAGTATTGCTAGAATAACATAACCAGGGAAAGACTCTACCAATGATAAATTTAATTTAATCTCACTTTTAGAATTTGGTTTACTTTCGCTTTGTGAGACATTCAAGATTTTTTTATGATCTGTAATTAAATATTATCTTGGTAAAGTGTTCTTATTTTATTATTAGGCCTATAACAATCCACAAAAGTAAAATTTTTGCCATTGAGGTCTGTAATTATATCCATTGTCTTAAAATAGTGATATAGTGATATATCTGTTGGAACCAGGTAGGAAAACTACGATCATGCCATAAAGGGCTGACGGTACTTTAAAGTACCGTGTATAAAAAGTATATATGTAAATGAGAAAAAAATTCAAAAAAAAATTTTTTCCTTTAAACAACCTTAGATAATTACAAAAAAAGAGAAAAATATTGTTTTTTAAAATTTTAACACTGCTTGGTCCTCAAAGGGTTTTAATGGATTTGCCCTCTATGTCCTTATATCATGTAATTCATCCACATGTTTCATTAGAAGGGATCACAAGTTTTCAGAAAATGTATCGCGTACGATATTTACGACTTTTATTCGTCGATTCCTTCGAGTAGAATTCTATAGTCCTCCTTCATAAAATTAATATAGATTTATGTTGCATGGAATGAAGTGCTTATTGATATTCAGTACCTAATTGAGTAATATACAGTATCTTTAGCAACTAATCGTATGGGTTTGAGTTGACCAAAAGTTATTATCAGGTGGTTATTTCTACTTCAGTAAATAAATAATATTCAAACTGATCTGACAACGGCACCTGCGTTCCTTTGTGGTATTTAGTGAGTAAAATGTCTCTATTCTCCTTAAAAGTGTGTTAATGCTACGCGAGAAAATCAATTTACTAACAATAATCACACATGTTGTTATGCATAATAGGTTATTTTATAATAACTTTCAGTGGAAAACAACGCGTTACATTTACAAGGTTCAATTATGTTTATCTTGATTTGTTGGCTACTTATCATATAAATAAATGTATACACAATTTAAAAAGAAAATGTGTAGGTATATTTCGAGTTTATTTCTAAACCCATTGTCAGCCTCTGTTAACAACATAAGGTTCAATTAGTTATGAAATCTGGCATTGAATACAATATCCATTGTAATATCCAATGAATGAACTTTAGGAAAACAGTCAACATAATTGAAAACTAATTCAATCTATATACACGTATTTAATGTCTACACGTTAAATTTTATTGTATAAAAGGCGTTGTTAGATTTTCCATCTAAAATAGAAGTAACACATGGACATCGGAAAGTAGTTCATTTGACAGCCGAAGTTTATAACACGTATATACTTACAACATAAAACACCATCCTTGGAAGTTGTAAAACGGTATATTGCCGTCGATATTGAAAATGCTGCCTTATATCAATATTGAAATTTGAGGGTTCCGAGTTGAAGTTGGAAATGTATTTTTATAGTTTTCCGAAATACTCCCATGACTTGCGTTTGCTAAGTAAAATCATGTAAATGTATAAGAATAGGGTGTGAAAGATTATGTGACACCAAAAGAAACATTTTAGAAGACCGCATTTTCATTTATTTATAAACGAGTGTACATCTAATTTATGATTGAAAACTGCATAGAGGAATGTAAGATGTTTTTAAAATGAAATATTTAGTTTGATCGGTTATCTTTACGGTTTGGTCAAAAGGTGCATTTTCTTTTATACTTACCATTTAGTTTGAGAATTTGTATTCTTATCTACTTTTTGTGTGTTTTTTTAATTGTTTTTAATACCTTGGCTCGACGATTGAAGGAAATAGCTCTGAATGATAGTTTGACAGTGATTTGATAGCAAAATTTAATTCTGATTGTGATATTTAAAAAATTTCCTTAATAGTTAAAAACTCGTCACTACGTAACATATTTTCAGTTTTAATGACAACAATGACAGACAACACTTGACTCATACATTTATTTTCATATTCCTTTCTCTGTTTTGAATTTCAATTTTAATAAACTGTAGTTGGAACAACCCGATTGTCTTTCTTTAAATAATTTAAGTAAATTATAAATTGGTTATTCCAGTAGAATAGACTGAAATAATAATCGCAACACTGCAATTTGTTCCTTCCCTGCCTCAGAGCAAAGCATTATAAAACCAAGAAAATTATCTCGACCCTAGTCCTAACTTTCTGCAAATAATATTGTACGAACATGAATTAATTGTTTGAGCGTTAAATAGAATTGCAGTTTATAGTTTAATACTTCATAATTACATAATACCCCCGCCGCAGCAAACCTGCAGACTAAGCGAATTTCCATTCGGCTGATTGGATTTACACTGAAGTGTCTACTTAAAAATATAACATTTATTCCCGATCTAAATAAAATTAGTTTAACAAGTACTAGGTTTGCTGCATCAGGGAGGGTAAAACTGTTTATTTTTTGTAAAATGTAATAGTTAGAAAGAAATAAAAACATTTTCCAAATTTGATCAAAATATGTTAATAAACAAGCAAACTACAACAGTTTACTTATTCTCCATAAGAATAACATGGGAATTTTAAATTTACAATTTTTTGGAATTTTCTCCGTAACTATTAGGCGCATAATAACGCTTCAATATACTAAATTATTTGTTTTTTTAAGCTCTACAAAATGGTTTGGAAAGAAATTGCTAAATTTTATGTTTTTTGGGTCAAAAATGGGAAAAACCTATTTTTACCCCATAAAACCCCTTGTAAACCCCCGTTCCCATGGTCCGATCATGCTGGATCGCGAACTCGTTCAAATAAACGTAGGTTTACACGTTTGTACCAAATTTCATCAAAATCGGATCATTTTTGCTTGATTTATCGTGCTGACGGACACATATATAAATATATATATATATATAAATATATATATGTATATATATATAAATATATATATGTATATATATATATATATATATGAATTTGAACGGATGGTGTTTTTGGCCTCTAGGGACCTCAAAACGAAAAAAAATCGGTCCCGCGTCCAGGTCTTACCATGAGTACTACGATAATAGCTTATTCCCTATATGGGAAATTCGCTAAAACCTTAACCACTGAATAGTGTATAAACCAAACGGGTTGGTTAACGTATTGGCTTAGTGGACTGTGTGGACTTTTATACGACAGGGACTAATTCGATCCCTATCATATTTATAATTATTATTGGGAAGGCTTGGTTTGCTGTCCCTTAAAAACTTCGAGTGTAAAAAAAAAAATCTGCATTAGAAATCTAAGTTAAAGCTCTTAAAGTTTAAAAATTTAACATTTTATGGCCGAGTCTAAATCCTATTTCATGTTAGTGACGTTTGAGTAAACTGATGTTGAGATGTTTTCTCCTTTGTTAGGATTTACTTTGCGTATTCTCTTGATACTTTTGTTGTAATCATACAGGTCACACAGGAAAAATTAATAATAATAATTTTAAAACTAATATATTCACGATATTGAAAGTTGTTTGAATACCAATACTACATAATCTTGACGGAAGTCGAATTAAAATTACATTCGTATCACCAACAATATTATAGATAGATGAAATCCCATGTTTCACCCATCACGTCAATAAACGTCATATCATGCTTCTATATTCACACACAAATGATATAATATCACTCTATCTATCCCTCAGCCAAAGAGGATTCTGAGTAATTGGTCCCTGGTGAATTGTTCATTTGAGGTACGAGTATTTTAGTAAACGAAATGTCATTACGCTACAATTAGAACATATTTGCCATTGTTTAAAGGTATCGTTGGAATAATTATTGGTCGTTCTAGCATATTATGCTTAAATGCAGGTTTAAACATGATTTTAATGAGTATAGGAGTGTGCTATTAGAATAATATTCCTACGAGTATGTTCTGTCTACAATAATGAGTGATAGCATATAGTACAAAATTAGAGTAATTTTGATTACAACTTTATTAATTTAAAATCTAATAAATATATTAATAGTGTTACATGGTGATTTTGTACGGATATTTTGTTGGGATTAAAGATATTTTCAAATATTAAAAAAATATATATTTAATTGTGTTTTTTTTTTATTTAGAAATATTTCAAGATTCAAGATTGCATACTCAGCCAAGAATCATTTAAATAAAGCGTTTAATATAGCCATTTTGTGAGTGCTAATTCGTTAAGATAAGTTTATAATTAACACACTTCTGTAAGAATGAATACTATATCAGCCATATACTTAATCGGGATAAATAGTGTTGTTGACTTAGTCGGGATGGATAGAGTCATTACTGTACCAAAGTTGGACACGAATTCCAAGACAATTTAAATAAAACTAGTGCATGCCTAGTTTAAGCATGGTTGGTTTACCTTTGAGTATAATGAAAGAGTTATTGACCATCTGCAAAATACAATTAAAACCTAGAGGTGCTTATCAAAATGTTTTATATAATGAAAAAAAAATGTTTTAAGCCTTGCAACCATAATTTTATTTTTTACACTATACTGAAGTATGAACCAATTCGTTCACTCTTGAACTCGTTAAAAAATTGAATGGCTTCTTCCAAATCAATACTTTACATAAAGCCTGCAATAGTTCGTAACCCTAAAAGTTTCTTTGCATTCAAACCTTAATTTTTCTAAATTAATCTTGCATTTTCCTCACTTGAATTCTCAGCGTTAATTAAAAAACCGAGAGCTACAACGGACGATTTGGAGCTTGTAATTCCAAGAATTTACTAATATAACTGGACTTTTATTTGACTGGTTGTCTGTTTACACTCATAACGTATGTATACATTTATTAATTAACAAAGTTTAATATACCGTATATCAATTTTGTACTGCTAACCATTATAAAATAAAACCGTTAGACCAGGCAGGGTAGAACTAATTAATTGTCCAGTGGCATTAACCAGGGAATATTGTGCATGAAAAAGTCATATGCATTGTAGGTTTTGTTCCAGTAATACTTCAACATACCTTAAATATCTACTAGAATTAATCTAGGATTTTCCACAAGTTCCGAATCAGTTTCTCATTATATTCTCTTGCTTTAGATTTGTATTAGACTATTTCACTAATAGATGTTTTATTAGACATAATACAAAAAAGCTAATATGACATCAAATGGTTTGAAACTGTAATTTAAAAGTCTTATCTTTATAATAATGATTGATAAT